TGTAAAATGCCTCAAAAAAGTTAAATTAAAGTTGAAATTCATTAATTCTTTGCCAATATTAAAACATAGTTTAATAGAAAAGAGGGCTAGCAACATTAACATTACAGTTTCAGTGGATTTTTAATTATAAATAAGACTGCAGCGTAATGAAAAGAGTTTTTAATGAAGGATCGTTGGAGAAGGAGATCTGGTGTTCATTAATGTGTGCTCTGGGCAGCTCTGAGACTCTGCAGCTGGTCATGTGGTCTGTATACAGGAGCATCGCAGTCCAGCCTGATTTCACCACATAAAAAAGAGCTGTAGAGCTAAATATGGAGAAAGGGTATTGAGCCCACAGGCTCTTATATGGTATCATGGTGTGTGTTCCCTCTTTCATAAACACTTCACAAGACACTAGTGTCATGTTTCTGGTTTCAAAAACTTGTACGGTAATACAAAGTGTATCTTTTTGGAACTCTTGTTCTCTTTTTGAAACAAGTAAAAGTTAATTCCATGCTGACATGAGAAGAAAAGAAACACGTTTCAGCTGTGGGGCCTTCTTCAGGTGTCACCCGCAGCCGAAACTTTGTGTTTCTTTTCTTTTCCTTTCAGCATGGAATTACCCTTTACTGGCTCCTTTGCAGCCTATGCATGCTGATGCACATGCCTACTTGAACTCTTTTTGCCTGACATTTTTCTAACTGTAGCTTCTACATCAGGAGATCCAGGAGTTAGTTTGGTGAGTTGATTCCTGATGCTAGTAATGCCAGGGCCCCTGAGCACTGATGAAGAGCTAAAAATATTAATCTTAAGACCACGATCATGACTTTCTACTTCACTTCTCAAAAATGTTCTTAAAACTATTACAATGAAAGGCTCGGGAATTTTATTTGAAAAAAGTGTGCATGTCTGCCTGAGGCATCGCAGCACATCCTGAGAAGATCCTACAGCACGTCCAGGGAGCACAGTACCTTCCCTGCAGGTGCAGGAGCCATCCATGGGCGAGCAGGCGGCCTGGTTCCTGCAGGTACAGATGGAGGAGCAGTTGGTGCCATAGAATCCAGCGGGGCAGGGCAGGGAGCAGTCGTCCCCCTGTGAGAAAGCACAGACTGCAATGCACCCTGGGAGACAGAGCCACAGCGGTTCGCGACTTGAGTCAGCCGGACTAGTCTCCTTCACTGGCTTGACCCTTGGCACATCTGAATCGGCACAGACAATTTCACACTTTTCTGCTTTGTATCCCTCCCTCCCCAGAGTCAGAGATGCACAGTAGCAGCTGTTTTGCAGTCCAACGGTCTCTCTCTCTCTCACAGAGCTAATGAGCTCACTGAGGCTGGGAGCTGCTGGTGTTAAATATGCCAGCCTTACTCGGCTGAACCCCTGAATCCCACAGAAGCACTAGAATAAAATATCTTGTGAAAGAAACATAATATTCCCCACTAGAAACTGTTTCAGGCCAGTCATTTAAATCTCTGTTTTTAACTTTCAGCAGACTGAACCTAAGAGACACCATGGTTTTCCCAGCACTGCATATCTTCTCTCCCTAGCTATGGACTTACAATATCAGCAATGGATCTGAAGGCCTGATTGACAGCTGACAGAGCCTCTTAAGTTCTCCATTAGCTGCCTGCTAGAGACGTGAATTGGACAGCCCTTTCTTGAAAGTATCTGGAAATCATCCATGCTTAACTTTTTAAATAACACTGTGATCTGGGTTTAAAGGAAGACCCTCCTAACAGCTGAAGCAGTAGCAGATACCACAGGTGCAGTAGGCAGCTGAAGTGCAACACATTAGCCAGATACCCATAAGCCTAACTGGTAAAACATTTTTAACACAGCAATATTCCAATTTTGGTACTTAACCTTTGATGTGTTTAAAATCAGTATAGTTTCAAAGCACACAAAAGCAATCAAATTTAACTACTGCTGTGTGAATTACAGCTCCATACTGCTCTAGTACATAAAGGACCAGTGATATTATCTCAATAGAACAGTAGGATCTGGTGACCCTGAAGTCTCTGGGGTACATCCACCTATCCCCCCACTATTTGAAAGCCATTTATTCCTGGTAAGGGTCATAACAACCGGGAAGTAAGGGGCTTGAGGCAGAACAGCAGATCGTATGGCACACACACATACAGCTGTGCACACAGGGACCACTTAGAGACACCAGTTAGCTTAGTCATCATGTTGTTGCATGGTTGGAGGAAGGAAAAAAATATTAAATTTAAGTACACATATTTTACTTTTCTTCTTCATCAGCACAACTGTAGATTTCATTAAACCCTGTGTAATGACAGGGCTTATATACATCCCATTATGGCCAACATAGCTGTAGAGCCTGCTGACTTTACTCTAACCCAGAAAAGTGCACATGTAAAGCATAAGGATATCACAATGGAAAGATTGGACCTAAATGACCATTCCTGTCTGGCCTGCTGTCCTGCCTTCATTCTCCTGTCTTGGTAGCCTTGGTAACTGTGTCATCCTCCAGCTCTCCAGAGCTCTCCAAGCATGTAATCCCCTATAAGTTGTGGTAAATGTAGTTATTAGGGGGTGTGCATGTGATTCCACACATCATCTTCATTTGTAAGCTGTATTAATTCCACCTGTTGTACCATCAGATACATCAGCTGTGTGAGGACGTGGGGAAGGGGAGGGGGAACTTTTTTGGTGTTTGACTAGTTTCACCATTAGTATTCCAAGCACTCTTGATCAGGCAGGGCCTACAGTATAGGACTTTCTGTTCTCACTCCAACCTGTACTGTAGTTATTCAGGCCTGTACTGGTGGATATTCAAATAACACACTGCTAATTACAACAGGTTTCACTTGCAAGAATTAATTTCTTTGTTTCTCTGAACAATTTACTGTTTAAAAGAGCAAAATGGAAAATATGAAAAGGAAAACCGATTACTACTATGCAGGTAGCGAGGATTGCTTGAACACTAAAAGTAGTATCATACGGCCCAAAGAGAGTTCATTTAACCAAGTCTTTTATTATTCTGACATGAACAACAAGACCAGTACTCTATGTAACAAAGCTCAGCGAAGTGTAATAATTATCTCAGTTGATGCAGACTCAAGCTTTTTTGATTTTTAAAACTGTGCTTTCTGCTGGAAAGTCACCCAGCGCTGCGTAAAGGCTCACTTATTCCCCCTCACTGGGACTCCTGGCACAGTCTATCAGAAATAACACACACACCAGGTTTATTTAATTCCTCGAGCAATTCGGAAGACTTCTCCATTATCAGAGACTAGTGCATGGCTGGAGAGGTGCAGGTACAGTAGGTGCAGATTCTGGCCATCACAGAGGAGAGTCACCACGCCGGGCATGAGCTCTTCACCCCACTGCCCTCAGGCAAGAGATACAGAAGCATATGGACACTTACCACTAGATTCTTCAATAGCTTCTATCCACTAGCAGTGCGATTCGCGAACACATTTAGATTTAGCCATGCCCCTCGGACCACACCTACTGTACACCTTCTACCTTTACCTGATTTCTAATTTATTTATTGCACATCTGCAGTCATTGTTTACATGTCTGCATTGTTTACATTCAAACTGTTTACTTGTTCAGTTGTACACTGTCGACTGTTTGTTTTTATATTGTCTTGATGCACTGTCTGCACTTTGTGTTTTTACACTTGTTTTAACAATCGAGAGCCTTTCTGTAAGTAAGAATTCCATTGTACCAGTACATGTACCGGTTACACATGGTAATAAAGTTCAATTCAAGTACAGTATACATACAGGAGGTCCCCAATTACAATGAGGGAATCGAGTGTCATGAATGAACCCTCCTGGCGTCCGACTCTGTGGCTCCCTCTGCACCCCTGTGATCAGAGATCTCAGTCTCATGACGGGGAGAAACAAAGCCTGTGCTGATGTCCTGCCATGTAAATCACGCCTGATCCGCTGCTCACCCATAAGGCCCACTGGCATGTAAAAGGGCTCGTCAACACGAGGAACCTCTGCGGCTCCCGTGTTTTTTCTAGGCGAACGCTCAGGCAAAGCCTTTGACCCAGCTGCCAATGGCCAGCTTCAGACACTATACTAACAAGACAACAATGTGAAGGATCTAGTCAATACAGTAGGACTTTGTGTTCAGGGGACAGGAGTGTGAAACAGTCCCTGGGGACTGTTAATGGACAGGAGTATCCTCCAGCTTGTCCAACCGAGAGTGCCCTTCTGCTCCTAGTGGATCATCTATCCCACTCTGGTGCATAGCCATTCCTTTCTCATCCTATCTACAAATAATGAAGTCTCCTGGCAGCAAAACCTTAGTCATCGGAGTGTTTTTAATTACTGGCCACATGCACTATTACTGAATCAAGAGAGCCTGCCCAGATCTCGGGCTGTGGAACAATGTGGGGGTATTAATTCATGCCCAGTGATTGACGACAGCTAGGTCAGGTTGCCCAGTCTCTGCAGCCATGCACCATGGGATACTAGCACCCCCCAGAGAGACTTGGGCACCATTCCTGGCTGACCTGCCGAGGGAAGCATGGTTTCCCCTGTCTGAGGATAGTACTGGACCTGCTCTCACAACACAGGGATTGAGGTGTAAAAGGCATAAAAATGTTTTGTTCTAAGAAGAAAATGATACACAGCAGGAATCTGACTCTCAGCACTGATCATTGAGAATTTCAAGAAAATATTTTATGATGTTCTTTAACTCTTTCCCCCTTCATCACTCGATGGGAGTAAAGTTTTAAAGACCTGTTCTGAAACAACTTAAGAGATCTGTACAGACATTCAAGGCCTAAAACACTATTCAAGGTAGTTTTTTAACTTGAAACTTGATTTTGTTTTATTTTAAACCACCCATCCTCGACTACTGTAATAGTATTTATCTATTTGGTCTACTGTGATAACCACTTCAACAAGTTCTGTACATGCTCACTAGGTTTTGAAAGCCCCAATAATAATGTGGCAGTGCATTAAAGAGGCACCCAGGCAGAATTCTGCTTTTCCAAGAAGTAAAACATGTGCACTGCACTTTGGTACTAGAATTTCTGAGTACTTTCTGGGGAACATTTGCAGGGATGATGAATAGGAAAAAGTGCCCAGAGGTGTTTAAATGCAGCACATCATGTGCTACAGCTGAGTTGGATATCAAGCTGTACAGGTATAATTTATATTTTGCAACAGATTTAGACAGTTTTAAGACATGATGCAGATTGTAAACCAATGCATCTCACTGCCTCAAGGGCTGACGCTGCTAAGCCCTACTACTAGAACCACTGACTGGCAACTGTAAGCCCAGCAGATAGTGGCATAAAGCACTTTCAGTTCAATTTCCCCTTAGATTTACTATCTCCTTACAAAGCAGCTGAACGCTCTGAGGTCAGTGGCTGAGTGAAGGGATAATGTTCCCATATTTAGCTCCCCAGGTGTTCAATGGGTCCCCGAGCCAGGAGCCCACCCAGCCTTACCGTGAAGCCTGGCGCGCAGATGCAGGCGCCGGTGATGCTCTGGCAGTCGGCTCCATTGGCACAGTCGCACACCTGCTGACAGCCTTCGCCGTGGTACCCGGGCGGGCAGGCCTCGTTACAGTAGAGGCCTGCCCAGCCTGCCGCGCACGTGCACTCTCCAGACAGGGGGTGGCAGCTGCCAAGACAGAAGGCACCGTCACTCAGCACAGGACCCGAGACTACAGTGTGTCTGCACCTTCTGTACCACTCCCCCGCAATACCCAAATAGGCTGGTAATCTGTGCAACCCTCATTTTTAGTCCATTGTAGGGGGGAAAAAAAAAGGCATCCACAGTGTCATGCCGACATAATACGTTCATGCTGACTCAGGATGGCTGGCATACCAATAAGGTTTCATTAGTAGCATTTACAAATAAAATGCGTTTTCATCAGACACGGGCTGCACTTGTACAGCAGCATTGTTTGCTGTGCACCAGCATTAATTCATAATAATAATTGCTTACACTTATATAGCGCATTTCTGGACACTCCACTCAAAGCTCTTTACAGGTAATGAGGACTCCCTTCCACCACCACCACTGTGCATAGTGCACCAGAACGCTCAGTGGGGAGGAGAGCAGAGTAATGAAGCCAATTTATAGAGGGGGATTGTTAGGAGGCCATGATTGATAAAGGCCGATGGGGAAATTTGGCCAGGATGCCAGGGTACACCCCTACTATTTTCGAGAAACACCTTGGGATTTTTAATGACCACAGAGAGTCAGGACCTCGGTTTTACGTCTCATCCGAAGGACGGTGCCTGTTTACACTATAGTGTCCCCGTCACTACACTGGGGCATTAGGACCCACATGAGCCGCAGGGTGAGCGCCCCCTGCTGGCCCCACTAACACCTCTTCCAGCAGCAACCTTAGTTTTTCCCAGGAGGTCTCCCATCCAGGTACAGACCAGGCTCACACCTGCTTAGCTTCAGTGGGCTGCCAGTTGTTAGTTGCAGGGTGATATGGCTGCAGGCTGCATGGTGTGCAGCATTAATGTTGGCTCAGCGAACACCCCCCAGCATCAGCGCAGCAAAAGGTAAAGCCCAGGTGCTGCACCCATTTGTCTTGGGAGAGCAGTGCATCTCTTCAATCCGGAAGTGCCCATGCACACCTGCACACACTCCTGCCAGCGCACAGTGCACAAGACGCGCTTCAGTCACACTCCTCTGGTACCACAGCACATGTGCTCCCCAACCCCCACTCACATCTGTTTCCTCCAGACAAAAAAAAAAGATCTTCCCCCGTGTCTGACAGCAATTTTTCAAACTTGTACAGGCGGAAGTCTAATGAGTGAGTGCAGATGTGGAAAAAAAAAGTCGTTTTTTTTAACATGCGCATATTTTTAGGGATTTAGGTCATTCGAAGTAAGAGAAAGAGGAGGATAGTCTGCACTGGAGCTGCGCTAAAAAGTTTGAAAGTCATGTAAATTCCCTGTCTTTGCGCCTGAGAGACCACGGGTGACAGCCTAGCTGGGACAGCAGAGGAGAGAAGAGGTCATGTAACACAGCATCGGGCTGTTAATATGAAAGATGCTTGTGAAAAATGCTCAGCGTTCTGTCTCAGGGTTTCAAAACTCCAGTCACGGTGGGAAACCCTCCTGTAGGTCTGGTAAGCCTCTTTAAACATCAACAGGGATAAGGATTCCATTGGGCCACTTTAAGACTGGAGCTGAGGCCCTGCAGGGTCTGGCATCGGAGGCAACCCTGCCCTTACCTGAGCGTGTTTGAGGTGTTACAGGGGCAGTACTTGTCGCAGGTGAGCCCGTACAGCCCCGCTGGGCACATCCTCTGCTGGCAGTGCGCTCCCTTGAACCCCAACTCACACATGCAGGCCCCGTTGATGTGGTAGCACTTGGCACCATTCTGGCAGTCGCACTTGTGGGCACACTGTCGACCATAGGTGCCGACAGGACACTCCTCTTGACACCTGTATTTAAACACAGGCCCCCCGCAGGAACAGCGTCAGCAGAGGGCATTGAGCAAACTGTATAAACATCTCTATACGTTTCTGGGCCCTTAAAAAAGGACATAGGCTACTAACATGTGCTACTGTAGATGCATACTGGTAACAGTGAGACATATGTTCCTACTGTAGCTCCAGTTCTATGGGCCAACTTGACTGACCAGAAACGTGACAGGACTGGTGCTGTGGACAATTAGACTCCAACCACCAGCAAAGGCCACCCCTTTGATTACAGAGCTAGCACACACAGCAGGCGGCTGCACCCGGAAAACCACAGCTAAAAGATCCAGCTCATGTACACGTTGTTCAGCCTTGCCCCCCTGAATCCACAGGCTGTGTCCTCTCCTGTCAATATAACCTAAGGAACAACTACATTAACTATGCAGATTGGTCTCTTTTTTCTTAAGTCCACCTTAAGGATTTGGGCAACTAGACAGAAAGACGATATTTATACAAATGGTGTGAAAGGTCTGTGGGAATATCGAAAACCCCACTATTATGGGTGCCAGCAAAGCTCAATATAGAATGACTAGAATGACGGGGCTGTGTAGATTACTTCATTTTGGGCCCTAAGAGTTAATTTCCCTTCAGTGTATTCTAATCTGAAAGACGAGAATGAGAGTGTGAGAGTGAGACTGCAGCTGCTGATGCAAAAGAAGAGCCGTGAACATTTTCTCAACTCCATTTCAACAGCACAGGTCTAAAGAAGAACAGCCATTATAGTTCTGCAATAATCCAATCTTCACCTGACAAAGACAGAATGAACGTCTGGGCTCCAGCAGCGTGGATCAGGACAGGCACCACGTAAGTGAACAGTATTCTCAAAACAGCGCATACACATTCTGAGACTACGCTTTGTGCAGGCTGCAGTTACACACACAGCAGCAACCTTCACAAAGCTTCAGAAACTGACCCTCACAAGGTCATAACACCGGACCTCCGGCAGACCCCTGTTATTCGCATTCATCGCTGCCCTGCTCAGCACTACGGCTGTCTGAGGCAAAGCTCCAGTCATTAATTGTAATGAATATAATTAGAGCTTCAAAGATTCCCTGTGCAGAATAACAAGGAGACCAATGGAAGGACTTTTCCACAAAGCTAAATATACATTCTTGGCAAGCCATCAATCTAACATGTCCAATAAAGTCATTAAGAACCAGATAAATAGCTCAATTAAATTATAAAGTGGACTAGTTATGTTTCATGTTTAAATTACATTGGCTTTTGGCTTATCTGGTGAGACTAGCATTATTACATGAAGTGAGCGCTAACACAATCTCAGATTATTCCGAGCAGGTTAATTCAGTTGTCACTAGCAGAATGAATGAGGGTAATTTCACAAAATATTAAACTAAAGACACCAGACATTTCAGCAAGAAAATGCTTCCTGAAGAACTGCTTCATCTGGGAAATTAAGACCAGGCTTGGCATTTAAAACACAGTAGGAGAGTATATATTTTTTTGACTCTCCGTGTTTCTTAGTTCAGATCTTTAGATGGAGAAAATCATGCATGCCACCCAGAAGGAGGTGCTATCGAGAGGTTACTCTTGAGGGGCCGAGACACTATCCGGGGTCACCTGTCTGCAATGACTTAACATCTTTGTATAGTAGTGTGATAAACTGACTCATCAGCTGAATGGGATCTTTTGAGCTAGAGGGACAGTTTTATTTCTGACTTTTTGATAAAAAAAAACTTTGTTTCAAATACCTACAGCTTGGAACTGAATAAGCTCTGTATATAAATTAGTTTGCAAATGAACTGCCTAAAAGCCTGGAAGATCTTTACACTGTTTAGCGAAAAGACAAACAATCGAATAGTGGACATCATCTATATTGCAAAGGAACAAGTGATACTGTAGGTTTATTCCATGCTGAAAAAATAAGCAAGAAAATAACTTTGTGTTTTCTTTCTTCTCTTTTCAGCATGGAATAAAGCTATTACTTGTTCCTTTGAAGCCTACGCATGCTGACGCAGCTACCGACCTGATCAACTATACTGGCCTGGTTCATGTCTTCTAAAACAATACACTGACTTACAGAAGAGGACAGTATATCATGGGAATGTTAGGGAGGCTGGCGCAGATGAAAACTTTTTATCATTTAAGGCGGCAATAGGGAGGAAGTGCCATTAACACATGTAAGAAAGGTCGGTGCCCATACCTCTCTCCAGTGTACCCAGCTGTGCACTGGCACTGCCCGCTCACATGATCGCACAGCCCGCCGTTGTGACAAGGGCAATCCTGGCTGCAGTTGATGCCGAACTTCCCAAACTGGCATGGCTGGGCACACACTGAGCCCTGCAGACACAATCAACCCACAGAGAGAGAGCTTCAGGAGTGGGTAATATATTACACCAAGGAACTGAAAACTACCTGTCTGACATCCCGATCAACTGCGCATTACTGTTGAATCAGGCCAAATATACAGGTCTGTGTAAGCAAACTTCAGTCACTTAGAACAGTGACCATGATGCCAATCCATAATGCAGCTATTCTGCTGTTGAGACTTGATGTTGGTGCTATAGCTCATAGAGAGCTCATCTTTTGTTCACCTCAACCCCCGTTACTATTAATTAAAAACCGACTAAACAGGCAAACGGGATCTTAAAGAAGAAATCATTGGTGAGCTAAGAGGCTACACTGACAGAACTAACTTTTGAGATTGGCAGTGTGGCTTTATGGAGAGGTCTTGGAGCAATTAGCCTCACAATATTTTTAACTACAGCTGGGCATTGTTTACATTTGCACTGGATTTCCCCTTAAATCAGGCTGCTGAATGATTCCTGGGACGCGTTTTGAAGCGCGGTTGCGTCTTGATCTCAGCGGGGGGATCCGAAGCGAGGCTAAGCCGGACGGTGAGTGTGAGCAGTTGGCGCAGGCGTGCCCGCCGCCGGTTCCCGGACCGCCGCGCCCCCCTCGCGTACCGTCCAGCCGGCGGGGCAGGAGCACTCCCCGGAGACGTGGTGGCACACTCCTCCGTTCTGGCAGGGGCAGCGCAGCTCGCACTGGGCGCCGTGACTGCCGGGCGGGCAGCGCTCCTCGCAGCTGGGCGGCCGGCCGTCAGAAACAAGCACGTAGGAAAAAACAGCACGGAAAGGGAAAAACAATGACAGGAAGCGACAGGACACAGAAACACAGAGTGCTGGCCACTCACAGTGAGCCACGCTGCTGTGCATCACTCCTCGTCCACGGCCACAAAATGCTGTGGGACCCACTAGTGATGTGTGCCACAGACACAGTTCTATTTCATTTTTCTGTGGCACCATTTCTATTTCTATTTATTGTCTAGTGTTTTTCCAGTCAGGACACACGACTTATTTTCTCTCACAGTGTAGCCATCAGTTTTCCTATTCTAATCAGTTCTAGTGGGTATTGATGAATGCTGTCTTCTGATCCTAACTGGGAGTCTCCCATGCCTCCCATGCTGGGTCAAAAACATGTGTTTTTACTCCAAGGCAGAAAAAAGAAATAAAAAAACAGCACCCTGCAATTCCTCCAGGGTAGACTGGAGCACCCCTCTATTTCTACCCCTATGCAGCAGAGCTGGACCCAGGATGCTCAGCTTGTTCCGCAGATACTCACAAGGCGCCGGTGTAGCCTGGGGCACAGTGGCACTCCCCTGTCTGGTGGTCACAGGTGGCTCCGTTCTGGCACTGGCAGTGTAGCTGGCAGGCTTTGCCATAGTAGCCGGGAGGGCAGGGCTCCTCGCACCGCCAGCCCTGGTAGCCATCGGTGCAGACGCACGCGCCAGTGATGGGGTTGCACAGTGCACCATTCTGACACTGGCAGCGGTTACTGCAGTGCGGCCCCCAGTAGTCTCTCTCACAGCCTGCAGCACAAAGCAGGGAGAGGGTGCACATTTATGAAACTCAGTAAAGAAATACCTGGGCTCCTACAAGCAGAACTGGTACAGTACCACAACACAGGTATAAACTCAGCGTGGCGGACAACGTTTTATGAATCCTTTAGACCATGATCAGTAAGCCAACTTCTCCCTACAGATCAGGACTCCTCTAAAGGCAGTCCCCCCAACAGCTACATGGTAAAGCTTCATTAAAGTCAGCTCTTTAATTATTGAAATGAACAGAGTTATAATCAAGCGAATAACTACAGGTACGGCTGCAAAGTCCTACAATACAAGAACTGTCTGCTTTACAAAAAAAAGGGCGAATACAAAATTCTGTTTCATGTGTTTTTTATAGTGTTGTCAGACACTGTGCCTCATCATGTTCTTTTTCACAGAACTGCCATTCTCTCACAAGCAAGTAACAAAAACAACAGATAATTGAGTAACAGAGTATAGCTGTATGGCTAATATTGGGTTATCTTTTTCGGCACATCTTCTTGGTATCTGGACAATCCAACACAGTGGTATACCCCCACTGACTTTCATTTCAAAGTGAGGGTACTCAGTACAGGCACATCTTTTAATGCTGCTGATTTAGGAAGGTCAGCCCTGACAACAACACAGTAACAAGAAGTGGAAGTTAAGACAAACCTTCTCTCTTCAAGTCAGTTCCCTGTCCTCTGACTGTTGACCACTGTATGATCAGGTCTTCTTGGAAGTAACTGCCTGTTTTTGCAGCTTCCAAGAAAACCCTGTCTGCTTAATATGGTTTGATGCCCCAGCTGAACTGCAGATATTGATTCAATGTGTTCGCTGTGCTGCTCCAGGCCCTGACACAGGGAGGGCAGCTCTGCACTGATGATTTCTCAGAAGATAGAGCAAATGACCCTCACACATTAGATATGAATGGCGTGTGGAGCAGAGCTGATTTCGGAACAGATCACAAAGGGCTTGTATCTTTAGCAGAGCAGCAAGGTCACCCATCAGCATTCATCAGCCTTTTTACCTAATTCAAGCTTTTTACTGAAAAAAAAAATCCATTTGGGTAAACTAATGAGACTCCTGTTTCATAACAGTTTGATCAATTCCAGGTTTTATCACCTTAGGAATCTTGCATAAATTGCATATGATGGAGTTACACAGCATGTTTAATATTGGCTTTACTTTAACATCATGTTAAACAGGCTACCTACTGTAGACCGACAAGCGGAAATCTGCATCCTGTATACATTTTAATGGCTCACACAGTTTTGCAAAAGGAGTCTCATCAGTTTCCATGGAATTGCAGGCTAAGACTAAAATCTTAAATACAGAAAGCATGAAATATACCAAACAAGTTGAGCATTTGCAGTATGGCCAGGATGCATCCATGCAAAGAAAGAACAATGTGCAAAATCTAGCTGATGTTAAACAGCTTGTTTCTGTTCTCTCTGCATACTCCTCAGCTGACACAGCTGTGTGCAACTACTGTATCTCTAAGCTGCCTGTATTTCTTCCATTATCTTGCCCATTATTAATTTAACTATAAAATAGACCCAGGTGACAAATATATTGAAATGTAGGCACTGTTTAATTTGCAGAGTTGTCTAATTCCCAGTAACTCAACCAACATTGCAAAGGGAAATTCTTAATTCCTCTTTAGCTGCAAGTTAGACGCTTCAGCATATTTAAGTAAAGCCTATTTATTACCCTTCTCCTGCTGTATCTATAAATTGACTGTATTTTTTCCCAATAGCATGAAGGAACGCAGTCAGAAAAATGTCGGAAACCCGTCTCCCCTGAGGGTGTGTTAAACTGTGATGAAAGAGGCAGAAACCATGTGCAGGATGCACTCTGCTAAGATGCCTCCTCAGGTTATAACTAGTTTAATGTTCAATACACAAACCTATAGAGAAGGAAACTAATGTAAGCTGTCCAGGCAGAAACACAAAACTGCCTGGGAATGGGGGATTCTAAGGGATCACCTGCATGGTCTTGTTTAACTAACATGTTACAATTCTATGAGCAATTCGCCCAAACAAAAAACAGGATATGGCAAGTTTAGATTTTCTGAAGGCTTTTGATAAAGTTGCACATCTTTGGGTTGAGAGCTGGTTAACGTTAGAAAAGAGAGTGTACAGATAAAGGATGAATGCTCAAACTGAAACAAGATAATTAGGGGAGTACCACAGGGATCTATATTAGGACAATTTCCTCATTTATATCAATGCTTTAGATTCAGGTCATGTCAGTAAACTATCTAATGACACCCAAACACAAGGATTAGCCAACACTTTAGAGGCAGCATGGAAAATTCAAAAACATTAAGAAAAGAGTGGGCAAACACCTGACAAATAACATTTTATGTAAACAAAGTCCGGAGTGTTGCCTGTAGGTAGCAGAAGCATAAACTGTAAATAAAATGAAAAACCCTGAGCCCGAGAAAGGGTCTGAAGAGAGACTTACATGCTTACTTTTGTTTACACAATGAGGAGGCAATAAAAATGGCAGGTGATAGAGTGAAAAGCATTTAAATGAAATCAAGAGGCATCATGTTGTAATTGTAAAATCTTCTTGTACAATTTTAGCCACCACTTGAGAAAGAGATATTGCTGTTCCATGAATAAAGAAAGAAAAAATGACCACATATATTGCCAGGCTCAAAGGACTGGGACAGGCTGACAGAGCTTGATGGTTCCATCTTGGACCGTGAAGCTTACAAATCATTTAATATTCCTTAGATCCAATAGTCGCTAAAAACCAAACGAGTTAAATCAAATGCTCTCATCTGGTTTATAACCGTCCTTATGTTCTTATAGCATTGTCAACTGTACAGATTTTTAATTATTTTTTTGCTAATAGATAAGAATACATGTTTGATATCTTTACATCCAATTTCTGTGTATGCAAATCAATACGAAATAGGGAATACACTCCCGAAATATCCACCTCCTGCTGCTGGATTACGTACAGGATCCCGCAGTGTGTAAAGTCTGCAATGGCTCATGATCTTGTGCAGAGGATTGCAACCCTGCATTATGACAGACACAGCCCAAAACCCAGGATGTGCTGTCTCATCTCAAGTCCTAGCAAGGGGGGCGGTGGACAGACACGAACCCGAGGAAGGACACCTGCCCCATTTACCTTTACAGCTTCGCTGCAGGACCAGATAAGAAAACGTGTTGTTTTTTTTTCCGTTGGAAGCGAACTTATTAAACACCCTCACGTTCTTTAATCAATAGGCGTTGCAGGGAGAGAAGAAAGGTTCAGCAATTAATCGAGTAAGCAACTTTTAAGCAGAAGTATGACGCAAGGGAATTGGTCTTCAAAAGTGCATTTTAAGGCACGAACAAAGAGCTTTTCACCTGGCGTCGCCAGGGGAACAATTCATCATACAGTCGGTCTTTACTACAAACTATTCTGCCTGTTTGACTGTTGGATTTCGGTGACGAGTTGCACACAAAAGTAAAAGCACACTATGCAAGACGAATTCAGAATAATACATGGATAACTCAGAATGATGAAGCATCACAGATAATCTATTTTTAAGGAGATCATCTCTTTTAACAAATATCTCCAAAGAAGCATATAGTGAAACAGAGCTTCCTAAGTACGAGATCCTACAGCAACAAGAGTGCTGTGTAAAAATGGGATTATCATGTTAAGTGTGTGTGACAAATGCCTCTTCCTTCAATAAATCTGCTGTTGTACGGGCTGTCAATACACAATATCAGGAGCCTCCTGGCTCCAGCAGAGCTCCTAACAGTTATTAGAATGTTATTTATGAGCTTATTGATGATAAGGGAGCAAAAAGAATAGTCTCCGAAATATCATTCTGGAAATTAATTCATGGTTGTCTGAATATGCTAAAAAAAAAACGCCAATACTAATAATCCTGAATTCTGCTGACTTGCTAGAATCTCTGTGGTAAGCTGCTGGTGTGGATGTCATTTGCACACTCATGCTCTCACAGGATTCAAGAAGATTATCACTGTTTTCCAGAAACATTTTTCAATTAAATCTGTGCCATATGACTTTTGTATTTCACCGCCAATAAACTTTTATTGAATCTGAAATAGACTTTTAGAATGATTTTCTTGTAAAGCTTACATTTTGAATGCCGAAGTCTGGGCTGTCAGAACGGTTCTTAATAACCGTTTTTTAATCAAAATGCATGTACTGCAGAAGCTCTGAGTGTGAGTGAATAGGAATAACCAAAAACAGGCACTTCTGTTGGAGGAACTCTTGTAAAAGCTTACTGGGCCGTGGTGAAAACAGTAAGGTATAGTGAAACACAATGATCACACAACAGAGAGAGAGATGCAGTGAAACTATGAGAAACCATGGCCAAGTGCACAGAGACTGGATGCACAATAGATGGGAATACTTCTAACACTTACAGTGGCAAGCTCCCACAAAGGGGTTTCATGAAAAGGTTTGTCATCGCCCTCACCAAGACAGGCTGAACTGAATTTGCATCTCTGCAGATCAGGGCAAAAGTCCTTCTGCTAATGTTTTCAAGCACAAAATAACGATTATTAACCCCACAGGAGCCCTCCCCGTTAGGTTATGAGGCAAGGTCAGATGGCTTTGGCGCCTGTGCAGTCCTGCAGTCAAATTGGCAAGCTTGAACCAGCTACTGCAACATCTGATCTTTCAGCTCCCAGGGATCCACGCAAGCCACACTATCTCTTCATTTACCGAGACACGTCGAGCCGAAACTTAACAGGAAAGTTAAGAGGAGAACCTGTCTCCGCATAAAAGAGACAGCTCAGGACCTGCTATTATGCAGGAGTAATATGAAAAAATCCTTGACCCAGCACACCAAAGTAACAGATAATTTCTAAACCTGCAGACTCCTGCTAAACCATCTTCATCAGCACATTGTCACACCGCCTTCACAGCTAAATAATTCACTCCAAAAAAAAAACCTTCCCCTTGAAAGCCGGACAACAAAAACGATAAGCAGACACATGTAAATGAACCTTCAGCTGAATGATGGA